ATGGGGTTGGGTGCAAGGCTCATGAGTGAAACTGTTTATTGTTATCTTCACCATACCAAATACATTATCAACCATGTCTTTCTTGAAACATGCCTCGTCAGCCAAATGCTGTTTTATTGTTTTAGTAGACGTTTTACGGCACTTGCAACACAATTAGGTCATAATATAAGTGCCCAAGATTAGAGGGGTTACAAGAGAGTAACTAACAAAAACCAAAAAAAAAGAGGAGAGATAAAGACGATACAGTTGTTTGATAGGAAAGAAGGAGCAAAAACCACACCCGAGCATCCACCAACCACCCACAGCCAAGTGCCTTTTGATGACCCCCAACTCTTTTCAAGAAAACAAATTTGAAGAACTACTGTGGTTTTGTCCTAGTTAAAGATGAGTAGACAACACAAAACATATGTGAGGCATCGTGGTGATGATATCAGGCACTCGTCAAAATAATTAAATCAAAGAAGCCGGCATTTTTTTATTTTGGCCGATGGGCAATGTTTTTCTATTTTTGGCTCAACACCTTTTGTGTCCATTTAAAAATACACTTTTACAGAAAAACATTGATTAAAGTAAAGACACAAAAAATGTAAATTGTCAGTTTCCAAGGACTCTCAGGCTATGGAAGTTATCAAACTTTGTCGGCCATTTTCTCGCTAATTTTATCTCTGAAACCAGTTAACCAACTTCAATCGCAAACATTTCGACTTCTATCCAACATAATATGAGGATATTTTTTATATCAAAAGGAAGGCAAATGAACAGGCTTTAAGATGATACCGATAACCCCATATGCCCAGAAATTGACGAGCGCCTGATTCCACCACGTCGTGACACACAAGTCCTGCATCCGGCGTCAGTGGTGTAGCAGTTAAGTACTTCGCTGTGGCAAGAAGTAGAAGGGAAATGGAGTTTGATTCCTGAGTGGGGAGAAATTATCGAGTACATGCAGGGTCCCCATCAAATCCTGGAAAAATTTTTCAAGACCCCCAAATTTTTTTCAAGACCCCAATTCGAAGGAAAAATCAGGCCGCTGCGCGTCAAGAATGATCCCTAAAAAAGCCAATCTATCAAAGATAAAAAGTCAAAATGTCTATAAATGAATGCAAATGTACATTTTGTAGTATAGTCTTCAAACAATAGATGACTATAATACTGGGTGACTGCCAAACCA